TCCCAAGGCTGTCAGCAAGCTGCACCTAGATGGGAGATTGGTGAAGTTACAGCAGCCACTGGAAGTCCGAATTGGGGACTCTTCCACAGTCCGGATTACCTCTGCTGTCAAGAACCTTCCGGTTATCTTTGACAAGCAGGAGAAGGTCAGGCAGCGCCTGAACTTCTATGTGTTCCCTAATGTGCCTTTTGATCTTGTGTTCTCCATGTAGTGGCTTGAGGCCACTAACCCTAGGATCGGCTAGCAGATCCCTAGGGTAGAGCTTCCTGACTGTCGAGGGGACTATCAGCCTTGTGTCCTGGCTGATGAGTACCATCCAGTCAGTAGTTGCTATTGTATGAGGGCACACGAGTTTTTCCAGCTCTCTCGCCAGACTGCCCACACACGTCTGTTCGTTGCATATGTGAAACCGACTGGTGTGGATGTTGCTCCTTGTCCCTCACCGATTCAGCAGGTTTTGGACCGGTATCCAAACCTGATGCAGGAGCCTACTGGACTTGTCCATAGGCAGACCCAGCACAGGATTGAGCTCCTGCCAGGTACGGTCCCTCCCAAGGGCCGGATCTACAGGATGTCCCCTGCTGAACTCGATGAGCTCAGGAGACAGCTTGAGACCCTGACCAGCAAGGGCTGGGTCAGACCCAACACATTTGAATTTGGGGCTCCAGTTCTCTTTGTTCCAAAGGGAAATGGAGAATTCAGGATGTGTGTGGACTACAGGGGTCTCAACAAAATCACTAGGAAGTCTACAGAGCCCCTTCCTATGATTGATGATCTGCTGGACATGGTCCAGGGCTGCACAATCTTTAGCAAGATCGATCTCAAATCTGGCTACCACCAGATTGAGATGGCGGAAGGTGATGTCCACAAGACAGCCTTCAAGACCAGATACGACACTTATGAGTACCTGGTCATGCCCTTCGGTCTTTGCAATGCCCCTGGCACATTCCAGACAGAGATGCATAGCATACTCAGGCCTTACCCGGACAGATTTGTAGTTGTATACCTGGATGATATCCTGGTATTCAGTCGATCTGTCGAGGAGCATGCGCAGCATCTGGCTCTAGTTCTCCAGGCACTACATGAGGCCCAGTATAAGATCAACATGGAAAAGTCCTCCTTTGGATTGACTTCTGTGACTTATCTGTGACATGTAATCTCTGGGGAAGGGCTGGCTCCTGAAGCAACTAAGGTTGCTGCGATCCAGGACTGACCACAGCCTACCACACTTCGTGATGTCCAGTCATTCTTGGGCCTTGCATCATACTACAGGAAGTTTGTCAAGAACTTCTCTGCTATTGCTGCACCCCTGACTGATCTCACAAAGAAAGACACCCACTTTCTTTGGACATCAGACTGTCAGCAGGCTTTCACACGCGTCAAGGAGGCCTTGATGCGTGCACCTGTTCTGAAGCTACCTGACCCTACCTTGCCCTTCGTACTAACTACTGATGCTAGCCAGTATGGGGTTGGGGCGGTACTTCAGCAAGATGGTGGGCACGGTCTGCAGCCAGTTGAGTATATGAGTAAGAAGATCAAAGTAAAAAAGCTGCAGGATTCCACATACGAGAAAGAGCTCTATGCTCTGGTGTCAGAGCTAAAGCATTGGAAACATTTCCTCATGGGCAGACACTTTCAAATCTATTCCGATCACTCCACCTTACAGTGGATGAAGACCCAAAGGGAACTGAATGACAAGCTCGCGCGCTATATTCAGTTCATTGATCTCTTTGACTTTGAACTGAAACACAAGAAGGGTTGCTACAATCGTGTAGCAGACGCCCTTTCTCGTAGGCCTGACACTCTCTGCATGATCTCCTCCACTCATACCTTTGGGGAGAGTACCCGTCAGACCATTGCCCAACTATTACCACAGGACCCGACTTTTGGCCCAGTTGTTAGGAATCTGCAGACTGATCCTGCCTCTGAACCAGGGTTTACTCCGGTCTTAGGTCTGCTGTATACTTGCGGCAAAGGAGAGGAGCGTCTGTGTATCCCTCAGGACCGCCAACTGAGAACACTCATGATGTCTGAGTGTCATGATGCTCGTGGCCACTTTGGGGCAGTCGTCAGCTGCCCTGTCGCAGCGGTTCTTCTGGCCAGAGATGAGGAAAGACTTGCTGCACTATGTTGAAACCTGTGAGTCGTGTCAAAGGAATAAGGTCATTCGCCGACCTCCCCTTGGCCTACTACAGCCACTTCCCATCCCTGATGCACCCGCGCTGTCAGTATCCATTGATTTTACTGATCTGGGGAGGACCACTCCTCGTGGTATGCGTCAGGTCATGGTGTGTGTTGACAGGTTTTCTAAGTATGTAGAGTTTATTCCTCTACCAGAGGAAGCCAGAGTCCCGCTGACAGGTGGGTCACTCATCATGGACCACCCACCTCTATTGTCAGTGATAGAGATCCACGATTCTGCAACAACAATGAATCGCAGTCCTACTGCAAGGACTACCTTCATTCCAGACTGGATATGACATCTGGTCGTCATCCTGAAGCCAATGGGCAGGCTGAAGTGATGAACCAGATTCTTTTTCAGTTGTTGCGTCCTGTGATCAGCCCGGATCAACAGGATTGGGATCTCCATCTTGGACGGGCACAGCTAGTGTACAACACGTCTGTACACTCCTCCAGAGGGTTCACCCCTTATCGGTTGCACTGGGGACGTGAGCCACGGCAGCCTCTCGATGACATCATCGATAAGGCTACCCCCAGACTGACTCCTGGGACTGCAGAGTTCACCAGACAGTACCAGAGGGATATCGAATGAGCCAGAGTTAACCTGCTCAAAGCCCAAAAGGCTGTGATTCAGCAGGCTAACAAGCATCGTCGACCATCCCCTATCCGCGCTGGTGACTGGGTCTGGGTACTCAGTTCTAAGTTATCGCGGGAGGAGGACATTTCGCCTAAGCTGCTGCCGCGTTACATGGGTCCATGGCAGGTTTTGGATACAGTGGGGGCTGACCCTTTTGGGCCATCCTATCATGTAGATGTCCCACTGCATCTACAAACCTACCCTGTCTTTCATGCATCCAAGCTGCTGCCTTTTACGCCAGCTGATGCATTTCCAGACAGGCCTCCTCAATTTGGTCCCCCGATCCCTGGGAAGGGATATGAGGTGGAAAAAGTTGAGGATGAGTATGGTACAGGCCCGGATAAGGAGTACCTTGTGAAGTTTCTTTACCAGCCCCATACTGAGGATCGCTGGTTTACTCGCAAGGAACTTCTGAAAACAGCCAAGTCTGTTATCCTCAAATATGAGGCTACGCAGAAGGGAGAACCCCTTCGACGCTCTGCACGTCTACGCCCGTAGCTCGGAGGTCCTCGCTCCAGGGGAGGGTAGGTCTGCAATGACTTGCTGGTTCTAGGTTGCCTGTGGCCTATCTCTCACGAGGCTGTACTTTAGGTAGGGACAAATTCGTAATTTTGTTTGGCTAAGGACTAACCGAGAGACCTGCCTGTATGGAAATTCGTGAGGGACATATCTGTAAATATAGAAATATGGGCCCAGTACTAACTCGATTTTCCTACA